ATAGTATGGGGTGGGGAGAAGCAGAGACATGCAAGTAGCTGAAGCCTATTAGTCAGCTCTGACTAAATCAGTAAGCTTCCCTTTCCATGAAGAACTGCCTCAACAAAATCAAATTCTGGCCTTCAAACGCATGCGTACATGAACACACAATGCATGAGCATCAGCATTCATACATGCGCATGGCCACACAAGCACATACATATACCACAAATACACATGCATGCAGACACAAACTTGAATGTGGGAGACAGAGATGAGGAGGAGCTCAGAAGGCTTCCTGTAGGTCCAGGAATAACATTCTTTTACATGGTGCTAAACTCAGACGCATGATTATAATCGGTATTGCCATTTGAACTAGCTTAGCTATCTGGCTGTCTCTGCTAAAGAGGATAGACATAGTAAAGCCCGAGGCAGGCTTTCTGGCTCTAGTGAGGAGAGTTTGGAGTTGCTATCTTGGGAAGAAACAGAAAATATGCAATTTATACACAGTTAGGCACAGTAGAGAAATCCTGAGTACCTTGTATATCTTAGGAGGGCTCTGGAGAATGGCTCTCTATTGGGCCATCACAGCAGTGATGTGGCTAGTGCTGAATGTTGGATGCCACCAGGTATAGCTCGCTCAGTCTCACTCTGTCTCTTGTCCATCTGTCTTTGCCTCTGTCTCTGTGTGTGTTCCCTTTCTCTCCTTATCTCTTCAGCTTTCAGCAACCAAAAAAAAAAAAAAAAAAAAGCAGAACTCATTTTACTCATTGGTCACCACCTACTCTTTGCCAAACATGATTCCGTATGTCTTTTGATCACCAGCTGTAATCAACTATTCTCTTAAAAGATAGAGATCACCCCCTTCTGTGGCAACTTCTGGCTCTCCCATTAAGGAATAAGTATGGAGTTTGAGCATTTATGCAGAGATGCATAGTTTCCTTTGTTTCTGAAGCTTCATGGACAGCGGTTACAGGAAAATATTAACATTAAATTTTACAGCCATTATCTACCATCTAATATCCCTTCTTCCTCTTAAAAGATAATGCCCCATTTCCTGTTTTCTGGTGTCTGCTTCTTCTACTATTTTTTGCTTTTTTCTGAAATCACTAAAAATGATGAATGAAGACTTTCTTTTTATTATCCTGTGATTAGATCTACATGCATTTTCTTTCTACTGTCTGCATTGATGATGGAATGTCACGACGGTTAAAATTAGCCTGTCACTTGTGGGTTCCATCCTAACATCCTTACCTCCCTTTTTAGTTCATTAAGAGAGTGAAATCTCAATTAACAAATGTCCTGGCGGTTCATGTTCCCATTTCTGTGACTGTAACCATGTTTAAAAGAGCAGATGTTCATTAATAGTGCATAGAGCTGTCTGTGCTTCTCCATAATATTCATAGATTCTTCAAAACTGTTATCCCATTTCAACAAAGAGGTAGCTAAAGGTTGAACTCCATTGTAGACTGTTTGGAAGCAGTGGACCACTGCCCTCCCCCAACCAGTGTTTCCTCTCGACATACCTTCTCTGTTTTTAGTGACTGCCTTCTGTAAACGAAATGCTGTCTCTTCTTTTATTTTGTTCCCCCTTCCCAATTAGTACAGTGTTGAAGTTGGTGTTTTTAATGTATTGCTTGAAATGTTTCTTCTTAGCATCTTTTTTTCCTAATCACTTTGGAAATGTTTGGCTTCACTGAGTGAGGGGAGAGAGCCAGGGAGAGGGAGGAGATGAAAGGCCCCCAGCAATTACTCCCTAGACCTAAAATGACAGGTAACAAAATCTGCCATGATAGCTGAGCTGGGAAGATGCTGACTAGAGAGCTGGCTTGGGCTGTTCCTCACCAGCTTTTCCTTTCCCGTCTTTATTTCTGTCTCACTTTCTTTGCTTTGCTTTTTCTCTTTTGTTTTCTCTCCTGTCTTGCATTTCTTTGTTTTTAATTTCTTAGAAGACAGCTGTCATGTGTCACAAGTTGACTAAATAAATATGCAGGCTAGAATGACCCTGGACTTTTGATCCTTCTGCCTTTATCTCCCGAATGCTGAGATTATAGGTGTGCACCACTGTGCCTGGTAAGGATCAGACCCTGTGCTTGGTGCATGCCAGGCAAGCACACTACCAACTCAGGCACATCCAATTCATCCTTCCTTGGCTTCTTCCTTTCCTCCTTTCTTGGGTTCTTCCTCTCTTCCTTCATTCCTTCCTGCCTTCCTTTCTTTCTTTATCCTTTTCTTTTTTCTTTATTTCAAATCCTGGCAGTAAACCTGAACTCCAGGGCCACATTCCTTTTTCCAGTCTCAAGTGGAACAGGAAAGTCTTGGTATGGGAGTTATATTGAAATGCGGTTGGCGCTCAGAAGGAGCAGCAGTTCCTCGGAATGGAGCGGAGCATGTTCAGTGGTGCTCTGTTGGAGGAGAGGGCTGAGAAGGCATTGCCGTCCTGTGAAGAGAGGCTAGGCATAGGTTTCAGACCCTAGTTAGAGAGTACTGTTTCTCACAGGGGTACTCATTGGCTGCCTGTGGTTTATTTCCCCAGATGTTGTCTTTGGACCAGAGGGACTTAGTCCAAAAATTATAGGTGGACCTGGGGACTTGCATTAAAGCAGATTCTCCATGGAACAAGTACAAAGTAGAACAGCAGTCTATTTATTCTGGTGCTCAGTTCTCCAGCTCCCTAATTTTCTACGTACACGTTTCTCACGATGCCTAAGAGGAAATGACTGATGCACAGGCACTAAGGCATAGCTCAGAAAGCACTTGGGGCATTTGCCTTGTAGGACCCTGTGGCAGGAGAAGAACAAAACCTCTTTTTTTTTTTTTTTGGAAGTGCAGCATGGTATTTCTTGGCTCTTTCTCCACCATTGTATGTGTGACTTTATATATCATATTTATTTTCTTCCAACCTCAGTAACAGTTTCTCTTTCTAAAAATATGGACAAGTGAGCTTTCTTGGTTGTTTGAAAATCAGATTCAACCACCAAGATGCTCCTGGGTGTTTTTTTTTTTTTTTATAAACCCTGAATACTAATTGCAGAAGCCCCCTCTGGGATTTTTATACAGACACAGGGAGCCACCCGTAGCGTACCCTGTCATTGCTTGCTTCTGCTCCTGGATGCCTCTGGCCTAGAGATGTAGAGCTGAATTGTCCATGTAAACCCGAGCTGTACCAAGACCTGACCTGGAGTTTCTGTTCCACTAATGATTGTCAAATGAATAAATGAGCTGGAAGATCCCGTGACGCCACCTTGACGCACGCTCTCTCCAGTCTTCATGGGTCCTACCGTAAGGAATGACTGGACTTTCTTTCATGTAAAATTAAATATGTTTGTATTAAAATCAGCTTCCTGTGATCCTAACCAAGATATGCCCCGAGACTGCTGCAAATAGAGCAGAGCGAGCACCAGGATGCTTTGGGGATCTAAATACTCGTGAAGTACATTTTTTTTTCATGTTATGAAATGTTTTAAAGAACTCCAAGCAAATTTAAAAGAGGATCTACTGGATTTTGACTAAGTGCTAAAAAAAAAAAAAAAAAAAAGGAGAAGAAAAAAAAGTTCCCTTAATTCCCTATCCAAATACTTCAAGCTTAAATTTACTGGCAGCTATTTCAGAGGAAGATGGTGACTCTGAAATCCTTAGTTTGTTATAGAGAGAATGTTTTTGTCTTCAGATGTTTAGGGAGGGATTAAAGGGAATTTATGGCTTGGTAGGGAAGTAATAAACGTGGTAACAATGCAGTGTCTAAACTGTCCCCAGTTTCTGGAATTACTGTCTACCCAACCAGCCGCATTTGTATCCGAAAGGAATTACTTTTACAAAAGGCTTGAGAGGCCTGCCTGGATCAGTGGGTCATTCTATCATTTAAGGAAGGTTGAATCAATTACACAGGAAATAAATTCTGTCATTGGAACGTTTGCCACAGGGCCCAAGAAACATTTTCAAGATTTGTTTCAAGAAATTTAATCAACATAAGGTATATTTCCTTAAGATCAAACGACGGCCTGTTCAGTTTCTCCTGACATACTTGATGTTTTAGTTAATTTTATTCTTAAGGAAAAAAAAATCACAGGAGTAAGAAATAAATGACTCTGATAGATCATGTTATTTCTTGTTGTGCCCCTTTTCTATTAATGGGGTTCTACCTTCCGGTTTATGGTGATTCTTTTAGTGAAAGCAGCCACGATTTTTTTAATAATATATTGCAATTTATAAAGAAATGATTTAGCAAAACAGTCTTTAGCACTGGAAGAAACTTTTCTGTAATCACCTGTAATACTTTGGTGACCGTGTCCTTTTGTTATTTAAGAGGGTCTCTAGATTATAGGTGATAGGACAACGGCAGTGTTCCATAGCAAGGTCGATTAATACAAATTTCATCTCTAAACAGTGCCGCCTTGCCTTCTAGGTAGTGCTTCTCAAGGCCACAGTGCATTTTTAAGAAATCATAAATATGTTAACAATGTTACTTAGAATGGCTGTGCATCCCTGTAATCCCAGCACTTAGGAGGTTGCAGCAACCTAAGTTCCATGTCAGACCCTATCTCGTAAAACAATGAGAGGGTCGAACACCGTGCAGTTTTTTTATTGTTGTTGCATCAATTAAATGATAATTGCTTCCATGCTTGATGAAGTTAAATTATTGAAACTGCCCAGAAGTTTATTCCAAATGTCTTTTATATGTAGGTGAGTTTGGTAGAAAGAAAATGAACCTGTCATCTTAAATCTTCATGTAAATAGTTGCATGATCATTTTTAATTATGCAAATGTCTCTGAGTTATACAGTAATTGATCCCTTTTGTATTTATGTCACATATCCCATCTTAGGATGCTCAGCCCCACATGAGTGATCTGCTCTACCTCTAACAGTTTCTATTTTAAAATTAAATCTGAGGAGGCATTCCTGTGTGTGTTTTACAATAATCCAATTCTTTAATGAGTTGAAGCTTGCCCCTTGTTATAAAGTAAGTTTCTGTGGTCATTGTGGACTCCCGTTTAAATAAACTCTCTTCTTTCCCACTTAGAGTTAAAGAAGCTGAGGAAGTGTGTAGGCAGAAGAAAGGAAAAGCACTCTACAAAGTAAAACCGAGACACGACTCTGGGATTGTAAGTATTGACTATTCTTGTTTTTGGCTTGTGATGTCATTGCTATTGAACCCTGTCTTTACAATATACACAAATTTATACAATAATATCTCAGTCATTTTATCCTATGTTTGGATAAATAATGAGCTTTTAATTCCAACAGTCTCTTTTCTTAATGTCTTTAATCAGACCTTTGTAGTTGAGTTAGTCTCAAAGTTGGATATTTGAAATTTGATAATTAAGATAAATGTAAGTATGAACATATATGAGGCCTTTTGTTCACTGCTGGGGCAGGAGATAGCCTGTACTTTTTCATAGCACATGAGTCACAGACTATCTATGCACTTTAACCCTGAGTGACTAATATGAGATTTGCTGCATAAAGCTCAATAGGAAATGATATATACTCTCAAGAAGGCTGTTTGGAGTCTATGGTCCAGAGACTTTTCTAGAAGGTTAAGCTAAGATTCTTCTCTGGCCAAGTCCTCCATTACAAGCAAACACCAAGTTGTGTATCCTCTGAGAGAAATGTTGGGTACAGTGGCAAATTCTCCCTTCTGATACTGTTTTGAAGGATTTGAAGGTGTCCTACAACCCCTGTTGGCAGGGTAAGTAAATAATGTCAGTTTAAATAAAAATTTAGGGCATCAAATAAAATCATTTTGACATTTATTTTTAGTTATTTATGGTATTGATGGCATTTAATTATTATGGTTTTAATGGGTATGTGTGTGTGAATGCAAGACCCTGAGGCAGTGAGAGAAGGACTTTAGAGCCTCTAGACCTGGAGTATCATAACTGTGAGCCACTTGACAACAGTTCTGGGAACTGAACTCTGGGCCTCTACAAAAGCAGTGAAGGTCTTAACTGCTGATCTATCTCTCCAGCCCAAATCAAAACATTTTGAATTAGATTAATATAACATAGTCTAAATGGAATGGACAGTCAAGATGACTCAAACTGCCTAGGATAAAATAGCCCTCTTTGGAAAAGAGTTCTAGCTTCAGATAAAATTTATTTTTCTGTCAGTTTTTCTGTATCAAAATTAGTCTTATCTAGTGATAAAATTGTCTTTGATGTTTTCTGACCAAAGCTCAGTACATCTATACAGAATAAGAGGAATGGTTATTAGCTAACCCTGGTCATGCTGTAGATGGAAGAGAACTGAAACCTGTCAACCATGAACCAATCCACTGATTCTTCTTCCGTATTCATGCCTTTGCATGTAGGATCTGGAATGACAGGGTTGGGCCAACCCCACTTCACATACATTACAAGTTAAACTTTAAAGACTTATTTTCTTTAAAGCATTTGGTAATTTGTTTCGATGAAAACTATTTTAAGATGGAACAGATGTAATGTGTGTAGTTTCTTGAATTAATTGATCTTTCACCTTTATCCAGAGAATGTAATCAAAATAAAAACCTTGTTTGGGCTTCTCTAAACTCCTTTCTTTTTCTATTTTTTAACCCTACCTGGTATATTTGTTTTCAGAAAGCAAAGATAAGCATGAAAACCTGAGCTGTGAACAGCAGAACAAAGCAAGTCATCGAAACGACGTCCACAGCATCCACGTGACCTGAGCAGGAAATGAAGCTACACCATCCTGATCACTTCTCCATGGAGACTCTTGCATAATCTTCCATGTTTTCTAGAAAGTTTACTGATTGTTGAATCTTTCTATATGTTTCTTTAAAATTGCAAAAACAGTAGACCTGTGGAGAATTGGAACCCTTTTCCTTTTGTAAACGTTCTGGTGTTATCCCAAGAGACCGAAACAGCACGTCTAAGAAGCACTAACTCTGAACACACTAAACCTTAACCTATGGTTCCCTTTTGTGAGGTTCTCTCCCTTGTCACAACAAAAGCATCTTCCCTTCTACTGACAACCAGAACTCCATGTCTTGTGATTAGACTTGTGGGTGAATGTTATTCCTACTGAAGTCTTGTATCTACTTCACTTCTCCTTACACAGTTTCTATTTTGAGAAGTAAGTAGTATCTGTGTGTCATGACCAACGCTGTCCCCACTCTGAAGTTGCTCTCTGTGTCCCTTAAGACCCTCTGAAAAACTGGTCTGCAGCAGAGGTAAATGAAATCAAAAGACATTCCTTTGTATCTTACACTATGATACTTCACACATACATACACACACACACACACATGCACACACACATACACATACACACACAAGAACTTTAAGTAAGTGAAGCTCATGAAATTGTAAGATTTATTTTTTGATAACTATCATAAATAATAGATGAATAAGATCTATCTGGATCTTGTTAAGTGAAATGCCTGCCTGAGTATTTTGACATGATTGCTGTGACCGTGTGTTACAGCCAGTGATTTACAGCTGGGAGGTAAGGATGCATTCATCCTGCATCCAAAGGGTTCCAGGGAAGGATTCTACTCACTCTGCTGTCAGGGACAACAGGGGAGTTTCCCATCCTTTCTGGGCATATTTTGAAGTAAACTCATAATACATTAAGGGTTTTGTATAACAGTGATAGTTGTTCTTTTCAATTGCTGCTAATAATATTGGTTGAAAATTATGGATGTAGAAAGGGGGAAAATTTATTGCTACTGCAAACCAGTTATGAACAGCAACTTAAAGAGATAAATAAAGTTCTAAATCATAGCTATACTTGTATTTATGTAAAGTACGACCTCTTTCCTTTTACTTTGTATTTGAAGTGCAGAAAAGCAGTAGTGTTTTATTTTCTTCTGTTGTTGTTTTGTAATTCTCCTATCCCTCAGTCCTTCCCATGTGTATATTACCACTCTTCTATGAAGTCATAGGGCATTTAACAAAGATCGCTATGTGCAATACTGTATTTTAGTGTTTCTATTTCAATTTTTTAGAATGTTAATTTATATGAAAATAAAATAAATAATAGAATATTTCTGCGTCACTTGTGTGCATATCCTGTATGTCTACTTGGAAAATGGGGATCATGGTAAACTTTTTTAGGGAACGTGTGGGAAATAAGTTAGTCTAAGCATTCACCTATGCAAAAAGCATGAACATCCTTCATTGTGGGATTCTGAAACTTAAGTCTATCATGAGAAAGTGAGAAATATTGATAAAATGTTGACTCTTTAACCCAGTTGTTTTATTTCCTGAGCTCCAGCAAGTAGTCTAGTGTTTTAGTATCTGAAGCCTCTAGCTTCAGAAACAGGAGGCATTCTTTCTATCTCACTGTCCCTTGAGTCTCTCATTGACTCAACTGCCAACACTACTAATAGTGCCTGGTTTGAAGATGTAGCCATTTTTCTCCCTCCTTTCCAGGGTTCTTTGTTCAAAAACTGGTGGGAATTACCTTGATAGCTGTATTAGTTAATTTTTTCACTTTGCCTTGATATAAATACCCAAGAAAAGCAACTTATAGAGTGTTGATTTGGCTCACAGATCAAGGGGATATGGTCACGGGTAGCATAATAAGGCAACTGGTCACATTGCTTCTACATTCGTGAATGAAAAGGAAAGAAGATAGTGGCTTGCTTGGAGCTCATTTTCTTCTTCTTATTCAGTCTAGAACTTCAGCCAGTGGGTGTTGCCCATATTGAGGGTGGCTGTTCTCATCCCAGTTAACCCAGTCTAAAAGCTCCCTAACAAGCATGCTCAGAGATTTGTCGAAGTGATCTTAAAACCTGCCAAGTTTGCAATCAATGTTAATATCACAATATCTATTAGTTGCTGTCATAATGATTTGCTTGATGCCAGTTATTGCCTATACATCAAACCCTTTTTTGTTCAAAACTAGTCATATACATCAAAGTAAGTCATCTCACATTATCCAAAATCTTGACTGTGGCTGACAGAGCATCAGGCACCTGTTTCTGCCTTGGGTTGCAACTCTCTGCTCTGAGCATTTGAATTCCAGCCTTCAGTCAGACTAAGCTTCCTTTAGTCCCTTCATGCAGTGTTCTTTCTCACCTCCTGTTGTATACTTATGTTCTTTAAATTCAAATATTGGAATCTTAATACCCAAATCGTCAATTTCAGGGGAGCCTAAGGGGTGTGTGTGGGTTATAAGGGAATTAATGTCATTACTGAGGAAGTGGATTCTCACTGGGGAGAAAAACACCCTATTTCATACTCTGTTACCATGCAAGGCATTCTGCAATGGTCAGATGAAGCAGGCAGACCCTCACCAGAGGCACTCCATTGATCCTGGAAGGCTCTAGAGCTCCAGTGATACAAATTTCTACTTTATATATTACATAGTCTATGGTATTATGTTATAGCAGCAGAAAATGAACTAACCCATCCACTGTAAATCTTTCTCCATGTTTTCCTTCACCTTGAGACATTATCCTATTATTTATCCTAGTATTTCTCTAACTCACTAGTAATCATATATGAACTTAATAGCCACTTGGTAGAGGACATCCCTTACCACTGGTCTCTCTGGCTTCTAGAATGTTACACATGTTAATAAATATTTATTAAATAAAGTAAGAGTGTTAACTATGCCACAAACTTTGGGATACAAACAAATTGAGGACTGAAACAAGTCTACTGTGGAGGGCAGAGACTGAGGGTTATATTAGTGCATATTATATTAGTCAGGGTTCTCTAGAGAAACATAACTTATAGAATTAATATTCTATGTCAGGATTCCCTGACACTGATGATTTGAATATTAAGATTCCAATATCTGAACTTTGGGTCTTCAGATCATAGGAAGTAAGAAAGAGCACTGCAGGAATTATAGAATAAATATAATGATCATTTATTCTATAAATAGCCCGGCTAGTCCGACAACGGCTGCCTACCAATGGGAGATCCAAGAATTCAGTAGTTGTTCAGTCCATGAGGCTGTATGTTTGAGCTGGCCTTCAGCATATGTCAAAGATAGGGTCTAATGCCAGTGAAGGTGTGGCCTTGCAAGTGAGAGGAGAGCAATCAGGCAAAGGAAGAGTTACAGCTTCCTTCTTCCACATCCATTATATAGGCTGCCATCAGAAGGTGTAGCCCATACTAAAAGTGGATCATCCCACCTCAAAAGATCCGGACTATAGGTATGTCTTCCCACATCAAAAAAAATGCCATTTAAAGTGGGTCTTTCCACTTCAAATGATTTAATTAAGAAAAAATCCTACACAGGTGTACCCAGCCACTTGGATTTCACTTAATGCCAAGATGTATTCAAGCTGAAAACAAAGAATAGCTATGATATGTCCCCACCTTGTCAACTTGACACAATCATATCTCCTTATGCTAGGCTTCATTTTAAAGTGAAAACAATAGTAAGGTCATGATTACACCTAACATGATGTAATAACTATCTCTTGAACAACCACAAATTCAATATAAATTTTAGAATCGGTGACAATACAGAAAGGAGAGGCCCAAAGCCGATTCCTAAAAATTAAGGCAGTAAAATAGGTGCAAATATGGAATTTTCTATAGTTGAAGAAAACACAATGCTGTTTTGAATCTCTAAATACTTCTAAAAAGATCAAGTGTGTTTAGAAAAGTATAGACATAGATGGTGGAGGAGAGGGAACAGGGCAGCCAGGGCTGGAGCATGAAGAGATGAATCTCTGTAAAGGGTACCAGAAAAAGTCATGTCACATTGGGGCAGTAGGACCAAGCCAATGCCCAGGACCACTGATGCAGACTTCTCTGTAAATAGCTATCCTGAATGCCCTAGGATATTGTCGATATCACATGTTTGATGGCCAGAGAAAGCAGACCAAAATGGGCAATATCAACAACAAAATATCTTCAGTGTTGCCACTACAAAGAAACTCAGTGGTACTAAGAGAGGCTATCTATCGATCAGAATGACTTGACGTGATATCAATAACTACACATAAAAAAGGAGAGGAAACAGTATCATCAGACAATCCACACCCCCTAAGCACACAAGGGAAGTACCTGCCAAAGAAATAGAGCAGCAGTGATATTCAGTGCCCATGAAGAAATTGGAAGTAGCTAATCATTAGAATATAAAAGAAAAAGTTCCATGAGCTTAATGGATTCTAGAAGGACATGAGCAAAGTGACAACTGCTGAGCAGGACAGTAGTGCTTAGTGATCACTGGGATTGTGACTCACACAAAGAAAATGCTGGTGATGTCCAAGAGACATCAGAAGATACATGGGAGAGACAGAGCCTCAAGAAGGTCCCCGTAAGAACAAAACAGATAGGAGTTCGAGAAAGTCAGGTAATTGCTTCAAGAAAAAATGGCTGAGTGTTTTCTAGTATCAAAGAATGTCATGGTCTGCCTAAGAATACAAGTCCCAGACCAAAGAAATACCAATAAATTTGGTCTTGAAAACACACCATTTACAACAGTTTTACTAAAAGCGAGGAATAAAATAGTTAAGAGGTATCTTGAAAACAGCAAATCAAAACTGTCAGCAAAGGAGATAATTGTTTTCAGAATTTGAAAACCAAGAGTTTACTATCCAAAAACCTCACAGGAAAGTCGGTTCAAGGGCAAGTGCCAGAAAGGAAAGCAGAGGACTTGGACGTCAGAAGTCACCGAGGGCACAGGAATTCGTGCA